GAAACTCGAAGTAAGGTTGATATTCATATGCACGAATGGGAATTGTTTTTTGTCAGGAAAAAGATCTGGCCCGTCACACTGAAGCTAGCAGATCTTCCAATTGCTGAGATGCAAAAGTCTGTGAACATTTTATTGGAAGCCATTGTTGAAGGAGTTGAAAACCCTTCAACTGTTCTATGGAATCACTTAATACCCATCGTTTTTATGGATATGGAGAATAAAGTTGGTGAAGTGGATAACATAAAGTTCAAAGCCTCCATAGTCACATTCACAGCGGACCAGCCCGTGAGTTGTTTTCAGATTATTAATGTGAAATCGAGTGTATCGACACCTTCGTTTGCAGGCCAAACGGTCTCTCTTTGGCATGGCAGCTTCCAATTCAGAGATGAGCTGTTTTTACGGTCTTTGCCCAGGAACACTGTATAAGACACGTGGTCCGGGTGAGTCATGAAGTTTGGAGTACATAATGTCATTATGTGCTTCAGAAAGATATACATCACGCAAAGGCATTCTCACACAACAAGACTCGTTGAATGCGCAGAATGGATTCAAAAACGTGCCTTCTTTTATTGTGAACCGAATTCTTCCATATGACACTATTGTTGATGTCTTGCATAACCTGCCGGAAGGTATTCTGGAAGTTATCATGAATGGTGAGCAAAAGTTTTATCGAAAAAATGTTCACGTTCCATAAAAGGCTCATACCAAAAGTGAATTGTTCAGAAATGACAAGCCAGAGGAAAGCAAAATCTGAATTGTTCGCTGACATTACAATGAGTACCACAAGATTCACGAAGCAAGTGAAGTGCCACCCTTTCTACAAAAAAATGGAACGGAAAAGAAATGCCACCGAGAAAATGAATGTGAGTTTCAGTCGAAGTTCAAAACCAGAGTTTGTTGGTTTTCAGTTTTTTCGTATTCACATCGGGATGACCGCTCTAGTTAATGAGGAGATTTCTGCGAAAGCAAGACTTGTTCTCGTCGCTCTGATGCTCATTTGCAATTTTATGTACTCTGATTCTCCAATTGCTTCCGGATTTCTTTTTCATTTAACTGATATTACGAAACGGATCCTTTCTGAAGCATCGGAGAAATATTTATCTATAAAGACCCACGTTAGTCGATATTTCTCGAATTTGAAATCTTCAATCTCAACCGTCAATTTCCAGGAGTTATTGGAGCATCTTCCTTATGTTTATTGGAAATTCGGAAACCCAGCACCACTTTCCACTTTCTCCTATGAATCATTTTATAAATTTTGTTTGTCCGGTTTCAATCCACAGCTGACTAACAATTTCACAGAGACAGCTGCGTCACGGTAGAGTGTATCTGAATAAAACATTCAATGAATATTGTGTTTTCAGCGTTCAACTGCATGTTTCCCTTCGGCGCGAAGTTCGTAGAAGAGCAGTTTGTCAACCAGATGTTGATTTGGAAGCTTTCTTGAAAGAAACGCCCGATTTGAGACATTTTAAAACCAGCTGGAGCCACAAATTAACAACTTTGACACAAGAAGAAAATGAAGAAGTAAATGGGGCGGAGGCATACGGAACACTACAACTGTCTTATGGAAAATTGATCTCAACATACAGCAAGTCCAATTCAACATCTGACCACTTCTTCTCTGCTGACGTAAATGGGCAATATACATGCCATAGATTTGTGTGTGCAATTGTTAAGGATGGAAAACTCTCGAACATCTTGACTGAACCCATTTCGGAATCTCCGCGTTCTTTGCAGTTTATCGGTTTGCAAAAGCTGGAGAACGAGATGAAAGGAACTCAATTCGAAACCTCAGCAGCTCACCTATTAACGCATGCAAGAGTTTACCCAGGTCTCATTCACGGTCGACTTTCTGAGAAACGAGCAACAGTCCCATTCCAACAATTGAGAGGGTTTGCTGCTCAACTCGAAGCACACAATGGTACCTACTATCTTCAAATTAATGGTTGTGCCGTTCATAATTAGTTATACTTAGTTTCCTCTTTTTATCTTGTGTCATGAGATTTCTGTGAATGAAGAAACCTGTTCAGATTGATCCCAAATGTTTCAAAACTTTGGAAATGACCTCTAGCATATTGACCCCTGCTTAAAAGGTCATCCGCGTTTCATCCGCGTTTCATCCACGTTTCGCTCGCCACTCATCCTCCTCTCGAGCGCGTCGCCCTGGCAACTCTGATTTGGCGTCTTTTTCCTTATAATCTCCCTATTCTTATTCTTTTTTTCTGCGTTTTTCTGCTGGAAATATCAAAAATGGTCAAAGAAGGAAAAAGTGTGTTCGACCAGATGTGTGTTGTAAGTTTTTTGAGAGCAAAACCGTATAAGACAAGTCAATTTTCACAGGGACATGTCAAAGGACACAGAACATTAACCGAATTGAATGACACCGCGAAACGAGCGAAACCAGAGCCTTTTAATGAAGATTCTTGTGATGAAATCCCTTCAGAGTCCATTCCAGAAAAGCGAGAGAAAAAGAAGAAAGTGTCAAAAAATGATTCGTGGCTGGCCAGTGACCTTATGAGTAAGTGTTGCATAAATGATGTTGGAGCCGCCTTGCCAAAAGAGGAGTGTGAGGTGAGTTTTTCCAAATCTTTGATATACAATTTCAACATAGAATTTACAGTCTAATATCCGTGCTGCACTGAAGAGCAAGAAAGATATTGACTTTTATGAATTTATCGAAATCTCGTGCCAACCTGGATTAACGGAAGAAAAACTTCAAAAATGTCTTCTAGCTTGTTCACTATTCGCATTTATGGTGAGCATCTGCAAATTTAATGGAAACATTATTTATTATGTTTCAGAATAGACGCGACAAGACAGCCTGCCCCTCTTCATCCGATGACCCGACGAAGTGCAATGAGCCTGTGGGATTCAAGCTTCAAGATGCACGGCTCGTCGACCGATCCGTTGTTTTCCCTGGAGATTTTCGTGTGAAAATCACAGACTTGCTGACACCCATGATTGTCAGCAAATGGGTTCTCACCGACGACGTGGCAAGTTCAATTGCAGCTGTAACCAGGGAAATTTGTAAGGAGGTGAGTGTCACTGGGGCCTCTTTTTTTTCTGTTGACGCCTTATGAAAGCCCTCCAAACCTTGTTTGAGAGGTGCGCGTGCTTAGCTTTGTGGTAAAGCGCGCCGATAGTAATCCAGTCCCACGGAGGAAAAGGGTTCGACCCTCAGTGTGTCAATCCCTTTTTTTCAGTTCGCAATAGTTGATAATAGTGAGAATCACTGAAATATTGATAAAATTAGAACTATTTGTTTCCCTTGGAATTGAACTCAAAAGTGGCACCGCGATAGACTACTACCGGCGCCTTGGACCGCTAGGCCACACACGCGCGCGGAAGAAAGGGTGGTGACAGCAGAGATATGGTGAAAGACAAGAGACTTCATCGTCCTCGAGGGAACTCTAGTCAAGAATTGCAGCTCCACAAAAAGGATCCGTTCTTTCCGTTCTACACAACGCCAACGACAACTCCGAGGAAGGTATCATATGTAATCTTGGATGATTCGATTGTAGACAATCTTTGCCGTGAGTCACCATCTCAAAAATTGAACATCAGTATTAAATTCTAGAGATCATGACAGCTGGTTTCGGTTTGGAGAACACTGAGGCAAACACTGTGAAGCTTCTGTCCCAAATTTCTTCAACTTTATATTCATTTATGTAAGTTCTCAGCTTGACACTTTTGATAACAAAAAAACATTTTTTCAGCGACAAAAGACGATCGGAGTTCAACAAAAAGCACGGTGAGGGAAGCTGCTTGGCATCGGCGAAAGATTTCCGAGATCGATTGATGACGTGAGCGATTCCTCAGTAGAACAATTTAGCAAAACCAGTTTTCAGATCGCCAAACTTTCGATCGAACTACACCCAGGATGAGATGGATATGTGGGAAAGAGACAGCTTCTACTCGGGCATTCCAGAATACGATTGTGGACCATCACCCAGCACATCCCGCCATTACATGGATTTATAAATTTTTTTTTGAATTTTTTCTTGTTTTCTGTGCTCTCATCTGTTTATGACTATCGTGTGTTATAAAAATAAACTTGGTTACTCCATATCTCATCTACTGAACCACCAGTGGCACAAATTGATATATTACGTGATATATACAGGGACACGTGCCTGATAAGCCCCGCCCCCTTTCTGGGCTTCGGACCGCTGGCGTCCGAAAAGTGGATCAAATGTGATCCTCATTTGACGTCGAATCTTGTTCCTCAGACGTGCGCCATTTGGTACGCGGCGTACACGCATTTCGTTATCAGCGGTTTGCCTGTGTAGCCACTGCGCCACCACGCTGCAGGCTGAGACAAGAGGAGAGGGCCATAAAGAAAGCGCGCCTTTTCTTGCTGTCTCAGGAAGAGGGAGAGGAAGAGAGGGGGGGGGGGGTGGGGTGGCAAAGAATACTATTTGCGGAAAAAAAATAAAAAATCCACGCAAGAAAGTTCTGGAATGCTCCATTTTCTTCCTGCTCCGGTCACCGCGTTATCAATGGATTCGTGGCTTTTGCTGTTGGCAAGCAAATCAATCAAAACAACAAACAATCATCAATTCTTTTTTCTTTTTTGCTGGTATGTTCCTTTTTTCTGTTTTTCCATTTTATTATGATTCATGTTTCATCATGATTTTTTTCATTTTTCCATGCCTGTTCCCCCATTTTCCTTCCTATGTCTCCACTTTTTTTCAGCCCCAAATGTTCTCTGTTCGTCAATTCCTGGGCCTTCTGGCGGTCCTTCTAACCGCTTGGATCCTGAATCGCGGTCAGCACATTTTGATGTTCGCTCTGGACGATTTCCAGGAAAACTATACGACGTTTTTGGGCGAGAAATGGTGGAGTACGGAGCAGTTGGAACTGTGTGACAATCAGGAGTTGGATGTGTTGTGGCAGAGGAATGGTGAGTCTTTTTTTCTATTCTGAGCTATTCCTATCACTTTAGTGAGCTCCTAAACTCATAAAAATGTTTTGAAAAAAAAAGAAAAAAAAAGTTTTGACCCTAGGTGGAATCGAACCTGAGGGTAGAAAATTAAGGGTCAGCAGCGCTAGCCACTGCGCCATCGCGCCGCAAAATGCAAGAAAGTGGCAGGACAATGAGGAGAGTGCGCTTTGGTGGAAAAAGGAGGCGGCTACTGTGTATGTATAGATTCATTTCAAGCTCATCATAGGCAGAAAAATTGGGATAATAAAAGGGATAAAAATTAAAAGAAGAGGGAAGATTTCTACAGTAATTTATTCCTCCTCTTCCTCCTCCTCCTCCTCTTCTTCCTCCTCGGCGGCTGGCTCTGGCTCTGGCGCTGCTTCCTCGGCCGGAGCTGCTTCGGCGGCTGGAGCTGCATCCTCAGCTGGAGCGGCCTCCTCCTCCTTCTTCTCCTTCTTCGACCACTCGGGCTTGCCGTCTCCGGTTTGTCCCTTCTTCTGTAAAGTTTGATTTTGAAAAACAATTTGATTTGATTTTGGGGTGAAGGCGCTCTATTGAGAATCAGGGTTATATCTCGATCGGGAATAGAGATAGAAAGAAGGTGTCAACTAAAAAGATGTTTGAAATTCAAAAATACGCAAGTTATTAGTGAAACACTTTTTGATAGCTCTTTTGGGAACTGAGATATGTCAGTTTAAAGTAAAAGCTACTAGATGTAATTTTTTTCAAAGCCTTAAAAAGCGCATATCTCGGTTCCCAAAAGAGCTATCGAAAAAATTTTAACTACAAACTTGTTCATCTTTAAATTTTGAACAACTTTTTAGTTGAACACTTTTTGATAGCTCTTATGGGAATTGAGATATGCCAGCTCAAAGTGTAGACACTACTTTAAAGGTGCATATCTCGGTTCCCGAAAAAGCTATCGAAAAATTTTCAACTACAAACTTGTTCATCTTCAAATTTCCCACAACTTTACAGTTGACAATTTTTTTCTAGCTCTACTAAGAAACCCAATAAAACAGCTCACCTTGGCCATAATCTCATCGAGATCGGTCTCCTTTTTGACGACTTTGAGGTTGGCGCGGAAGTTGGATTTTTCCTTTCCTTCTCCAGACGACTTGAATTTATTATCATACTTGGAGACCTTCTTCAACGTCGGCTTCACGAACTTTCCTCTCAAATCGTTGACCTGAATAGTCAACTGATTGATCTCTGCCTCAGTTTGCGAGACGGAGAAGTTGATATCGAACTTCTCCTCTTCGAGAGCACAGACACGGGCGAACATGTCCTCGTAGATCTTCAAAAGTTGCCCTTGATCGTTGATGGAATCGACGTCTGGCAGCGGAATAATACGCTGTTGGAGGGCCTTGAGACGCTCTTGCTCTTTGAGCATTTGCTGTTGTTTCAGGTCTTCGGCGGCTTTCATCATGAGAAGTTTCTGGAATTTTCTTTCCTTGTTGTCAGCGGTACCCTTTCTACAGTACTCACTCTCAACTTCTTCTTTCTCTCTGGTGTGAGGAAACCCTTCTTCTTCGATCCCTTCTTTGCGGCCTCCTCCATTCTTTTACGGACTTCGGCTTTTTTGAGCTCACGCTCCTGGGCCTTGCGTGCGGCGTCCTGGAAGTTTTTTTTTTTTGAAGATCAAAATCCGAGAAAAAAGGACTTACATCCCCGGCATCATCGGCCTGAGCGCCTCCGTAGCGAATGTTCTCGTCCTCGATCAGCATCTTTTAGTGGCAGAACGACCTGAAATTTTGTTGCTTAGCGGTTTAGAGAGCAGAAAAAAGAGGGAGGGAGGAAAAAAAGAAGAAAGAAAAAAAACAAAAAAATTTGACCCGAACAAAACTTGAACCCCAGGCCTCCCGCACGACGGGCGCGCGCTTACCCAACTGCGCCACTCGTGCACAACTGAGAGAAGGGTGGGCAGGGCCTAGAGGAGAGGAAGCTTGCGGGCAAGAGAAAGAGGGGAGAAAGCGTCAATCAAAAAAAAAGGTTGAGGGAGCCAAAGGGAAAAGGGGGTGCTAAATCTTGATGTGAATTGAGAAAAGTGGAGGGAAGAATGGGAGAGAAGAAGATAGGAAAAATGGAACATGTGGTGCCGATTAAAAGAGCAAAAAATGAAAAGAGAAGAACTGGAGTAGGTGGGGGAAAGGTCAAAGTGCATTGCGGTCTCAAGGGGTACGCTAGTTTTATAGTTAGATATGCAGGATGATCGAAGGGTACTGGATTACTGTATAAATGGTGAAGTTAGATGTGCAGGTTGAGAAGAATTACGGTAGCTAGAAAAAACTAGATTGAGATGCTCAGATTTACCTAAATGTTACTCCATTTCGCCTAGATTCAAAAATCCATGTCGTTGGATTACTGTACGCGCTCAGAGATAGATGTGCAGGTAGCCAGTGGTACTGTAGTTATCCTAGACTAAGATATGCAGGTCTACCTAGATTACTGTAGCTTGTCTAGATGTGCAGGCTTGCCTAGATTACTGTAGGCGTGTAGGTAGCCAGGAGTATTGTAGTTATCCTAAACTAAGATATGCAGGTCTACCTAGATTACTGTATCTTGTCTAAATTTAGATGTGCAGGTATATCTAGGGTTACGGTGAATAATGAATGAAAAGTTAGATGTGCAGGTATATCAAAGAGATTACGATCTCATGGGATCTAGCAGAATCTAGGATTACGGTAGAAAGGAAAAAAATTAGATGTGCAGGTGACTTGGAGTACTGTAGCTTTTCGAGATTCAGTTAGATTATGGAAGGTTACGGTAGCCGGGACTAAAAAGAGGACAATCATGATAGAAAATTGGAAGACACCCAAAAAATTGATGCTCTTCGAGTTCAGTGCTGAATGGCAGAATGAGGCAGCTCTAGTAGAGGGGAAGAACTGAAAACTAAAACCCTTTCTTTCCTTCTGTCTTTTCCCTTCCCAAAGAAAAGTTTAACATGTTTTTCATATTTCTGTCTGCCACTCTGTCACTCTCGATTTTCTGTGATCTCTCACCTCTTTTTTTGTATGTCAGTGTGAAACAAAACGTCGAAGGGAAAGGGGAAGAAGGAGAAGAGAACGTTGTGGAAATTCTTCCGAGTGTAATATTCAGGGGGCGGCTTCTTCTCAAGGGGGACTAGAAGACGGGGTTTTGAATTACCCTTGCCTCCGCAAAACGAAAGAAACGACAGATGTGATGCTCTTTTCCTGGGGAGCTCCAGCTCTTTTTCTCCTCCGAATCATTATTATTATTACGGATGGGAACCTTTATAGAACTCCTGGACGCTGGAATTAATCCGGGAGATCAAATTGATCAGAGAAAAAGGGATATTGGGGATATCCCCCTGGGATTGGCAACTGTTGCATTTTTGAGAGGAGAGGTGTTGGTCTCGCCTGGTAGACAGGGGGAAATAAACAATTGGGAGCAGAAAGAGGGGGGGGGGGGGGGGAGAAGGTGATTGATTGGCGGTGGTGGCTTTTTGGAAGAGGTCATTTGGGATAGAAGGGCAAGGGACAAGCAGGGTTTTTGAAAAACTACAGTAGCCCTTCTTTCCTGCACATCTAAACTTAACTAATGTACCGGCCATATTTATACGAACACCATGTGAAAATTCAACCCATTTTGTACTTAAAAATTTAGAAGACCAAATTTGAGCTACCATAACTTTAGAGCCAGATAAGATAGAGAAAAGTTGTCAACTAATGAAATGTGTAAAAATTGATAATCTTGAAGTCAGTAGTTGATTGATTTTTGATATCTCGTACGGTTCATGAGTTACACGCTGTGCAATAAAAAGTGTACCTTTGCGGAAGCTCAAAACGCTCGAACCCCAGACCATCCTTGCTAAGAATGGTTCTATCTCAAAAACCGTTGAATTTAGGAGAAAGTAATCAATTGAAGATCCATAGAGCATGTAATGAGATACTTTTTCGTAGTATAAGTCAATTTTCCAGCTATCATGCCTTCCACGAAAATGCTCATTTTTAGCTGAAAAAACGTTCAGATTCACATCAAAATTTTCCGAAAATCGCTCAAACCCTCTAAGTTCTATCCGTTGCTCCCTAAGTTTTTCACTGATTTCTAGTGTTTTTTGTTTCATCATTCCTCTTTCCGCAAAACTTTTGTCGGAAGCGACAGATGTGATGCTTCTTCCGAGAGCTCACAGGGGGTGTCATTACGCTTTTCCGGCGGTTTGGGAACCTATATAACTTTGGGAAATCATAGAACTCAATCAAATTGATTAAGAAAAAAAGAGGGATACCCCAATCAGCCAGCTGTTGCAACTCTTGTGTCATTGGTGGTCGTCCGTCTGATTGAGCATTTGCAGCATTTTGGAAAAGAGATAAAGGAAGAAGAAGAGCAAAGAATGATTGGGAAACAGAGGTACATGATTGATATGATTGAAGGGTTGGGTTCAATTGGGTGACGTCATTCTATCCGGGCCGGGCCGGGCCGACACACCAATTTCCTTGGCTTTCTAGATTCGGAGCAGAAAACGAGAAAGTATGCCAAATTTTGTGCTCCAGGCTTATATTCAGCACTCAAGGATTGAGCATTCAAAAAACTTTCAGTGAAAAAATGCAGAATTTTCAAAAAATTGCAAAATCTGTCGGGAAAAAAAAACAAAAAATTTAACCTTTTTAAATCCAGGCCTTCGGGTCGGGTGAGGCCTTGAGAATTATCCCCTCGGCAAAGCCCGGCCCGGAATTCGACAACTATTTCTCTATTCATGTCCAGGATCAGGCAGGACGAGCCTTGTCCCAATCTGAATTTTTCACGGGCCATGTACTTCTGGGATACGAATGCAGAAAGTATTGCTTTGAAAATTTTTGACTAGGTTTTCAGTTTGAAGTTTTTCAGATTGAGAAAAATTGAAATTACTGTGAAAACTAGGTAAAATATAGCTTGATTTTTGAAAAATCGTGTGGTGAGACACTCAGAGATTCACTAATCCTTCCTCTTTTCCTTCCTGATTTCCTTTCTATCCTGACAGCCTGACACTACTACTTTCCGATTCCTTGTCAACTGAAATTTGAGCCATGTTTCGTGCTATGATCTTCTCTTCATTTTCTTTTCCTCCCCGAGTTCATCGGCAAAACTTTCTTCCCTGCCTTCTTCTCTCCCCCAATTGCCAATCAAATATGATATAACTACTACT